CACACACACACACACACACACACACACACACACACACACACACACACTCACCCAGTTCCTCCTCAGTCAGAGGCAGGTACTGCTCCACCAGGCTCTCCGACGTGCTGAGCGCCGTCTCCACGCCGCTGCTGACGGCCTGGGCCACCCTGCTCTCCAGCACGGTGCTGACGGCGGCCCTGGTCCTCTCCACGCCGTCCTGCACCGCTCCGCGGGTCCGCTGCACCACGCAGCTCAGCGTGCCGGAGACGGAGCCCCCGGCCCCGGACACTCTCCCCGTTACGACATCTTTGGCGCTGGAAACGATCTGGATTTTATTTTCAAGCAMAGAAAGAAACTGTGAGGTCGAGAAAGACGGGACAAGAGGGGGGCGTTTATGTCGACGYTGCGCAGCTTGGCTCGACGCCGTACCTGCTCAGGAGGCTGGTGGAGGAGCGGTAAAGTTTTCTCGATCTTGTCCAAACCTCTGCAGGCCAGRTCGTTGGCCACGGCGACTGCAGGGAGAGCAGGAGTGAGCAAAGAGTTGCAAATAACACACAAACAAACGCATTATTACAATGAAACAAGTGAAACTGGGTGAAAGATCAAACGTGAGTCAAACCGCCCCGTTTGGTTTTTCACCCGTGACTCCCAGCTTCCTGTAACCTTTGGCACACATTTCCCRGAGATCACAAGACRGAATAATAATAATAACAATAACAGGAAGTGCAGGGTTCTTACTCTGAGGCTCCAGCTTGTTGATGATGGGCGAGGCGGTGGTGAGGGCCACGGAGGTGATGGTGCGGACCCCCTGCTCCGCGGCCTCACACACAGTCTTGATGTAAGGGTGGTGGTCTTTGGTGGTGGCGTAGACACTGAACACCAGGCTGTAGGTGGAGCTCACCAGAGGAAGGCTGGCCACCCTCTCCACCACACTCTGAAAGGCAAACAATGACCGTACGTTTAAATCATTAGATATTTTACTAACAGACACACCCTAATATAGATTTGTTTCTCCTTTAACAGTGATGGACATAAAGTATTCTCACCTCAGTAAGTTTTACATTCACTAAGAAAAAAACAACTAAAAACAGAGCAGGTCAAAGTTTTTACTGAACTCACCTGATTTGACATGACTTCAGCTGCTGCCATTTTCGACTAAAATCCTATAAAAACAGATAAAAACACATTTTCAGACACAACATATCGACGTTGTTTGGTAGATAATACATTAAATCAGCGAGCTGAAGCAGAARAGGAGGGTTATTGATGTGAAACAGCGACCCGGTGTTGTGTCGAAAAATGTCCCCTCGCCTATCAGGAGCCGCCTTCGCAGTTTCGTCCGAATTGAACTGTCGACGTTCCTGCCTCGACAGTTGAACTCTCTAAAAATGAGTTAATAAAACATGCATTAAACACGAGTAGACACTTACCGAAGGATGTCGAGTTATCTCTGAACCGTTCAATGAGCCAGGTCCGCAGCACCGGCTSTATTTATTCCTTGAAAGCTATCGCGAGATCTCGTGACGTCAGCGACGGTAAAAAGGGTCAAAGGTGGAAGTGGCAGGGGAATTCCTGTCTGAAGCAGAATGACTTCATTTACACAGTTTTTATGAGTTTGTCACACATTTTCTGCCCAGAAACGTATTTTGTTTCATAGTTAAAATGCAGGACATTTTATTTATTTATTTATTTATTTATTTATTTAGTCTAGATGCTTTTCAGTGAAAGATGTAGGCCACAGAGCAAATAAATAAATTAAATTCCTGAGTTCTGACTTTTTTTTTTTAGAATTCAGACTTATTTTCTGTTTCTTACAATAAAGTTAGAGTTCTCAGAAGAAAAAAATTTGAACTTTTTTTCTTTTCTCTCTGAGGCTGTCATGCTTTTCCATCATTTCCCACAAAAAGTGAGTGGTCGATGTTGTGTTGTTATTCTTTTGACGACATCAAACAGGCTCTGGTACGGAAGAGCATTGCATTCACCAAATAAAAAAAATTAGGACTCCTGATCTCATAATTACGAGATCAGGATCTCATAATTACGAGAAAAGATCCTGATCTCGTAATTATGAGATCAGGAGTCCTAATTTTTTTTTATTTGGTGAATGCAATGCTCTTCCGTACTCTGGGGTTGGGCAATACTGTCAAAAAWTTTTCGTGATTAATTGTTACATTTAGCCGATAACAATTAATAGATAATTGCACTTACACGTAGCCGCCTTTGTGGACTTAAGCCTGCATCTTCTAGCTTTTCCTAAAACTCCAGTTTATTTCTGTTTCAGGTGATTAAACAAACTTGTAGGTTAGCGTTAGCCACCATTCGGCCCTCATGCGCGCCTGGTATTGATCACGTATCACACAAAAATACGCCATTATCACATGGTAGTAACTGCAAAGTGGAAAACATTAATTGTTGACAGTTTTTCTGATAAGTGCGCATTATTAGAGCTAATAAAATTTTTCAAATTTAAGCTTAGCCTTTTACTACTGTTAGCCAAACAGAATTTTAYATATATATATGTATACATAGTTCTTTAAATAAACTTAGTTACCAATAATTATAAATGCGCAAAACGACCACATTTTTCATGTTAACCTTTTTAAGATTATCGATGAGATTTTTAAAAATAAATATCTGGAAGCTATAAAGCTGCTTTTTGAGCATGTAAACATGGTAAATTCCAGTGGCTGGGTTCTTCTATGCGTCTGCTCACTCATAAATACAAAATGGCCTTTTGTACTATTTTTATTATTTTTAATTTTTCTAGCTTACCAGCAGCAGGTCTGGTTTTGGTGAGACTCTGGTTCTAGTTTGTGGTCTTCTGTAGTACGTATTTCTATTTCTGTGTGTTTTTTTACAAGAAACATTCCCCAGTGAATTAGGTGTTAATGCAGCATATTTGAACTCTTCACATTTGGATGTCAGCTGATTTTTCCAGTTGGCCGAACACAGTGGGATCATTTATTAGCCTGTCAGTAAATGAAATGGAGGGATGGAAGTTTTTTTAGGCTGGTTCTGATTTACTCACGATACATGAATGAAAGACAAACCATCCAGCTGATTAACTTTTAACTGAGAACACGTTACAGGCCGGCTTCCACTCAGACTCCACGTTGGACTGGACGTTGATCTGATCGGGTTTTATTGCGCGCGACATAATGTTTATGGCCCATGATGAGCAAACAGTCTGATCAGGAATCACGAGCCTTTTGGATGACGTGTTAGTCCTTGAAGATGTCAGAGTTTGGGCTTCATGCAACAGCATTACAATCATCTAGAGCAGTGGTTCCCAAACTTTTTATCTTCTGACCCACAAAATATCCATGGCAAAAACTTGTGACCCCAAATATTACTGGTCTGAGTACACAAACTTTGTTTATAACCCTAAAAACACAGGTTGTTGACAATCTAAACAGCTTGTACACAAATATAAATACTTATTTTTACTTATTTTGTGTTTTTGTAATAATTATAGGGAAAATATTACATCAGCAATTATTTTATTACCCTTTAAATTGATTTCTGGAGATTATCCAAGGTGCTTCATGACCCATAATTGGGTCCCAAGCCCAACTTTGGGAACCAAAGTGCAGTGGTTCCCAAACTTTTCAGCTTTTGACCCACAAAATAACAGTAGCAGAGACCTGAGCCCCCAACTATTTTTGGATAATGAACATTTGTATCAGGTCAACTAATCATGGACATAGTAACAATATTTTTATACTACATTTATCCATTTTAAATACACTAACCTCACTCCTTTGTAACAACTAAGGCAAAAATCTAATTAATTCAGAAAATCTTTTCAGGACCCCACCTTGATATTTCGGGACCCCACTTTGGGTCCCGACCACAACTTTGGGAAACACTGATCTAGAGCACGTGTCAAACTCAAGGCCTGAGGGCAAAATGTGGCCTGCCACAGTATTTTATGTGGCCCGTGAGAGCTTCAAAGATTAACATCTTAATAAGCGTATGCTGCTTTAACCATAAACTGCATGTCAGCTATTTTACCCACAAAATGATGGCATCCCAACACTAGKYGGGRGTAGCCTTCAGCCAGCAATATTTACAATGTAAAATTTATGTTTTGCTGCATTTTTGCTGGCTACGTTTGCTGCAGCCCAGTTGTACTGGGAAGTGGGAATTTCCCACTTAAAAGTTGTCAGTTTAAACTAGAACGCCCCCTCCAGTGGGAGAGTTCAGAATTCAAGATGGTGGCTACTCGCCACAACTCAACAGCGAGTAAAACTCTKTTACTTTGAAAAGTACCACATGTACGACTAACTAAATGTGAAATAAATAATACAGAAACACTATTAAAAGTTCATAAGAGGACGTGTTAAAATGCTGTTTCTATGCAGAAAATACCACGTAGAGCTCAGTAATTATTTGTTAGCAGTGCTCAGCCTTAGCAATGAGAAGAGGAACTTTTTTTGTGTGTTTAGTCAAAGTTAGACAYGAAATTTTGAAATTTATTACAACTGTCTTTTTGAGGGACACCATAACCCTCATGTGACCCTCGATCTAAAGTTAAAGGATTTGTTTTGAGACAGCCGTTTTGAATCAAGGTGACTTCAAATGTTAATCAGTTGTAGATATAAATCCAATGTTTATTTCCTGAAGATTTTGTTAAAATTCATCCACTCGTTCATGAGATATTTTGCTAACAGACAGTTAAACAAACAGAGGCATCATTAATGATCTTTGGTTTTTGGATTAACGATATATATTCCCTAAAAGTAGAATTTATAATAATTAAATGTATTTTCTGCTTGAGTCTTTTGAGACTCATCCACCTGAATATCTGCATCCTACAGTATTTATTTTACTCTAGATTATAGATAATCTGTCCAGCTTTCAAGTATATCCAATCTGTTATGTATAGAAGCTTAAAAATATCACTTGATCATAGTTTGATGTTCCGCCCTCAGTAAACTCTCAGTGACAACCTCTGGGTCACTTTGGTTCGCTGTCCTCGCCCGACTTCCTGTCAAATCACCAGACGATGATGTCATCCAGTAGAAGAAGGGAAAAGTTCAATCGCCCTTTTTTTTTTTTCAAATAGACCTTGTAATCACATTTCAGCTGCCATTTCACAACAGAAGCACACAGCAGGCCATACGAGAGGAGGATACGTTCACTTTTATTCTTTTTTTGTTAAGTTGTATTTTCCMTCCCTTTTGGTAGAATAAGAAGGAAAAGACAACTGGCTGCCAATATAATCTGACCTCTTTTTATTAATGGTCACAAAAAGGATAGTTTCATAATTGTATACTTTGTAATATAATTTTAACTAGAGAAATTGCATTTCCTGCGAAAATGCAAGTGCGAATGCCTATTGCTGAAAACTTTAGCGGAAAGCTGCTGAATAAGCTGAAATTGAGCTGAACATGTTTAATAGCGAAAGTACAAGAGTAAGTTGCACTTGAAAAGCTGAAAAAAGCAAAGTAAATGCAGAAAACACTAAAAAACGAGCAACAATATAGCTGAAAAGGCATAAAAAAAGCTAAAAGCTAAAGGCAAAAAATAGCTGAACATAGCAAAAAGCAAAAGTAAGAAGCATAAATAACTCAAATTAGCAGAAAGAAGCAAAAAAAGTAAAAAAAACAGCAGAAAAGTTTTCAGTAAAACAGCTAAAAAATAGCTGGAAATGTTTTAATTAGCATCAAGATGCATAAGGAGCACAACTTTGCTGAATTTAGCAGAATAAAGTTGAAATAGCTAAAAAAAAGTGCAATTAGCTTAGAAAGCTAACAGTTAAAATTTAGCAAAATTTGTAAAAAAAATTGCTGAATATAGCAGAAAGCAACTATAACGATCACAAATAGTACAAATTAGCAGAAAAAAACACAAAGCAGTAAAAGGCACAAGAATAGCAAAAAGAAGCAGAACTATAGCAGAAATAGCAGAAAAAAGCTAAAGTTAGCTTAAAAAGTAGCAAAAAATTTGGACAAGAGAGTAAAATAGAGCATAACCAGAACAAATTGTGTAAGGTCTTGTAAAGATTTAGAAACTATTTGAAGGATTTTAAGGTTGTTGAAAATAGCCCCATTCAAAGTCAATGGGGAAAAAAGTGGCTAAAAAGTTGAAATATCTAAAAAAGTACAAATACCTGAAATACCAAAAGTCATAGCCGGCATTGCACAAAAGAGCTAAACGTTTTGATACATGAATGGTTGAAGAAGCACAAAAATTGTGGAATGAGAAAGGTGCCGAAAAATGTACGGAAGAAAAAAATGATCTCAATAGTGTGATTATGGCATTCACACTATCATTAAAATGCTAAATATAACAATTTCCATTACAAAAAAATAAAAACTTCACTGGTGTTGTTTCAAGTTGAATCCAGCAGATGGCGCCAATGTCAAGAAAGCTTCTACACACACCAGCCTATGAGTTAACCGATTTATTTCTGTTTTGTAAAGAAGGTTAGTTTGTAATTGATTAAATATTGATAGATGTGATGCTTCCACAGGTAT